ATTATCTCTTTAACAACGAAACTGGCCCACGTGTGATAACATCCTAGGTCTTGTTAATTCAGGCCCATGACCTTCCTAATTGAGTCTAGCCATACAGCTTGTGTTCTTCCTCTCTGCTTCCTTCCACCCTTCATAGCATTGTTGTATTTGCTAATGAGTCATGTCTTCTCATGATATGGCCAAAGTATGACAGCCTGAGTTTGATAATCTTAGCTTTCAGGGAGATTTTCAGCCTTGATCTGTTGAAGGACCCATTTGTTTGTCTTTTTGGCAATCCACAGTATCCTGAGCACCCTTCTCCATTTTATTATCATATTGTATATAATGGATAAGCATCCATGGAGCCATACCCTAGTGCAGTACTTCTCAAATAGTGGGGCACGCCCCCAAGGGGGGGAGCGCGAGGCTCCGTAAAGGGGGGCGCGAGACTCCATAAAGGGGGGCTTGTTTGACAATTTTATAGACAAATGATACTATTTACAGTCATGCAGGGTGCGCGAAATGTTTTCTTCTTTCTGGGGGGGGGGGCATGACAGAAAATAATTGAGAAGCACTGCCCTAGTGGATTCTGGTGAAGCTAGGTCCATACTGCATGCAATTTTATTCAATTTGTGAGGGAGAATGTAATATATATAAAGTTTGAGTAAGTAGTCATATCACATTACAAAATTCCACTTTGGGGAATAAAATGGTCTTAATCACTTAGGAACAAAGTTGATGTTCCTTGAAGTCCTAGTTTTTAGTTGCACTTAGCAAGTGTTGTTGAGACATGCTAGTAAAAGGAAGATGTTGCTCTGGGGAGTTTTAATCTTCAGAAAAGGCACAATGGCAACATATATCAATAAGTGGATCTTTTCAGGAATAACGCTTTAAAAATAGGGGCTGGCATTTTCCCACACTTTTGTGTGAGAGCTGAGGGAGGTTTGAATCTTTTTGGAGCAAACTCAAGGAGGCTGTCTTTTGAAGAAGCAGCGTTTCTTCATATTTAGCTTTTCTAAATATTTATCCACCTGTTTCATTTCATCTACATTTAGATCCTGACCTCATGGCTTGTGTAGTAAATAAAATTTCTACATTTCTTTTCTGCAAAAATTCCCAAATGGGAAACAATAAAGTCTATCTTCTTCCAGGCACAAGATGCTCAAGGAGACCATGGCTACAGCTGTTGATGTGCTTTTCAAATCATTATCACTACATACACAGTCAGGCAGGTGTAAATCCCTGCACAACATAGACAAAAGCAAGGTTAATCTCTTGACACTTTGAACAAAGCTCTGACCTTAATTGTAATAGTACCCTGTGAACCTCAAGAGTTCTGGGCTTGAACAATTGAGAGCACTTACATAGGTGCTATGCAGATGGTTTATTTATGTACTATGGAAAGGTTTGCTCTCACTGGGCATGATGTCCCCAGTCTTGGGAGGCAATCACATCCTGAGTTGCCTTCCATTAGTCATAAACTCCATCAAAACTGAGCATC